AACCACCTTCTCACCTGTGGACCCCTACAACCACCTTCTCACCTGTGGACCCCTACAACACCGTTCTCACCTGTGGACCCCTACAACCACCTTCTCACCTGTGGACCCCTACAACCACCTTCTCACCTGTGGACCCCTACAACCACGTTCTCACCTGTGGACCCCTACAACACCGTTCTCACCTGTGGACCCCTACAACCACCTTCTCACCTGTGGACCCCTACAACCACCTTCTCACCTGTGGACCCCTACAACCACCTTCTCACCTGTGGACCCCTACAACCACCTTCTCACCTGTGGACCCCTACAACCACCTTCTCACCTGTGGACCCCTACAACCACCTTCTCACCTGTGGACCCCTACAACCACCTTCTCACCTGTGGACCCCTACAACCACCTTCTCACCTGTGGACCCCTACAACCACCTTCTCACCTGTGGACCCCTACAACCACCTTCTCACCTGTGGACCCCTACAACCACCTTCTCACCTGTGGACCCCTACAACCACCTTCTCACCTGTGGACCCCTACAACCACCTTCTCACCTGTGGACCCCTACAACCACCTTCTCACCTGTGGACCCCTACAACCACCTTCTCACCTGTGGACCCCTACAACCACCTTCTCACCTGTGGACCCCTACAACCACCTTCTCACCTGTGGACCCCTACAACCACCTTCTCACCTGTGGACCCCTACAACCACCTTCTCACCTGTGGACCCCTACAACCACCTTCTCACCTGTGGACCCCTACAACCACCTTCTCACCTGTGGACCCCTACAACCACCTTCTCACCTGTGGACCCCTACAACCACCTTCTCACCTGTGGACCCCTACAACCACCTTCTCACCTGTGGACCCCTACAACCACCTTCTCACCTGTGGACCCCTACAACCACCTTCTCACCTGTGGACCCCTACAACCACCTTCTCACCTGTGGACCCCTACAACCACCTTCTCACCTGTGGACCCCTACAACCACCTTCTCACCTGTGGACCCCTACAACCACCTTCTCACCTGTGGACCCCTACAACCACCTTCTCACCTGTGGACCCCTACAACCACCTTCTCACCTGTGGACCCCTACAACCACCTTCTCACCTGTGGACCCCTACAACCACCTTCTCACCTGTGGACCCCTACAACCACCTTCTCACCTGTGGACCCCTACAACCACCTTCTCACCTGTGGACCCCTACAACCACCTTCTCACCTGTGGACCCCTACAACCACCTTCTCACCTGTGGACCCTACAACCACCTTCTCACCTGTGGACCCCTACACCACCTTCTCACCTGTGGACCCCTACAACCACCTTCTCACCTGTGGACCCCTACAACCACCTTCTCACCTGTGGACCCCTACAACCACCTTCTCACCTGTGGACCCCTACAACCACCTTCTCACCTGTGGACCCCTACAACCACCTTCTCACCTGTGGACCCCTACAACCACCTTCTCATAATCAGGATTTAGAAAGTAACGAATGGAGCTCAGAACTGAGTCTCCTTCTGTTTCTAATATATGTCAAGAATATGTCTTCTAATATATGTCAAGAATATGTCTTCTAATATATGTCAAGAATATGTCTTCTAATCTATGTCTAATTTATGGGGCCTTACGACTGAGTGGACAGCGCTTGGGGTTCCTAGTTCTAAGGGTCCGGGTTCGAACCCTGGCGGAAGGCAGGAATAAATGGGTAGAGTTTCTTTCACCCTGATGCATCTATTCACATAGCAGTAAATAGGTACCTGGGAGTTAGACAGCTGCTACGGGCTGCTTCCTGGGGATGTGTGTGTGTGTGAAAATTAGGATTAAGGACTTGCCCGAAGCGCTATGCGCGCCAGTGGCTGTACAAGAATGTAAGAATTCTTGTATGTATAAATATAAAAAAATACAAATAAATGACACTAATCTATGCTGCAGGGCCTAAACAAGCTTTAAAAGTGATAACAGAAATGGTTCCTGGAATTCAACTCCAGTAAATGCAATGTTACGGTAATGGGTAAATGAGGAAAGGAGGCCCAGGGGCCAGGATTCGTCAACCAATAAGTTACGAAACCTATACATCTTTTTTTAATCATGGCGGCTCTGTTTACATGTATATTTATTACAAAATTTACAAGCTTTGACGCTTCACAATCCAAGGTCATTATTATTATAAACAACCTTGTAGTACTTCCTAACCCAACCTCGGAAAAGAAACATCTGGTTGTAGATATCACCTCACTCCAGGGACACACATTAAGAGGACACCGCCAGCAGCGTATACAACACTGATAAGAATAACTCTTAGGAACTTAAACAAGAACATGTTCAGAACGCGAGATACGACGTATATAAGAGCAGTGCTGGGATATGCATCACCAGCGGTGAGTCCTCACCTTGTGCAGCACAGGAATGATGATTTAAAATGTCCTAAGATTGGAACCAGAATTCAATAGAAATTTGTATTCACAAGGATGAAACTTCATATACTGGAGGAGACAGAACGAAACGAGATATGATTTTGACGTAAAAGGCAGAGACAAAAAATTAACCAATGACAGACCATTCCAGACTTGGTAACCACAAACACAAACCAACTCTAGGGATATAAAGAAATATATATTCGGTGATATATATTCAGTGTCGAGGGGACGGGGGGAGGGAAATAGATATATACACAGAAAGGTATACCCACTTCTCAGGGAATATACACTATTAGTTTACTTTGAGTCCCAGACTATGTTCACGACAAAAGTATACCTTTATGTTGGTCAGATAGCTCTTGTAATGACCTTAATAGGCCTCAATAGGGTTGAAAGGCCTTCAACCCGACACTAATCTGGTGAACGAGCCGAGAACACCGGCCAGGACACTCTTGGTCCACACACACAGTCCAACACGAGGGATGAACCAATCGAAGACGGCCCAACAGCTGTTCACTCCTCTCCAACAACACTATTATGTAAGTTCACACACATGTACACATCTTTCAAATGGGCGTGCACACACGCACACACACACACACGGGGGCGCCGGTGGCTGTGTGGATAGCATGCTGGGCACGAAATCCTGTGGCCAGGGATCGATTCCCAGCGCCGGCGAGAAACAAAAATGGGCAAAGTTTCTTTCACCCCGATGTCCCTGTTACCTAGCAGCAAATAGGTACCTGGGAGTAAGACAGCTGTTACGGGCTGCTTCCTGTGTGTGTGTGTGTGTGTGTGTGTGTGTGTGTGTGTGTGTGTGTGTGTGTGTGTGTGTGTGTGTGTGTGTGTGTGTGTGTGTGTGTGTGTGTGTGTGAAAATTTTCTTTAGTAGTTAATAACAGTTGATTGACAGTTGAGAGGCGGGCTGAAAGAGCAGAGCTCAACCTCCGCAAGCATAACTAGGTGAATACAACTAAGTGAATACACAGGGAAGGGAAGGTACTCCACTGGATAAGAGAGTACCTAAGCACCAGAAAACAGAGAGTCACTGTGAGGGGTGAGGTCTCGGAGTGACGAGATGTCACCAGTGAAGTCCCGCAGGGGTCAGTCCTTGGACCTATACTGTTCCTGATATATGTAAATAATCTCCCAGAGGGAATAGAATCGTTCCTCTCAATGTTAGCGGACGATGCAAAAATTATGAGGAGGATTAAAACGGAGGAAAATAGCATAAGGCTACAAGAGGACCTAAACAAACTGAATGAATGGTTCAACAAATGCCTATTAAAGTTCAACCCAAGTAAATGTAAGGTAATGAAACTAAGGGGTGGAAATAGGAAGCCAGACACTGGATACAGAAGGGGAGATGAAGTCTTCCACGAAACGGACAGAGAGAAGGATCTAGGAGTTCATATCACGCCAAACCTGTCTCCTGAAGCCCACATCAAAAGAATAACATCGGGGGCGTATGCGAGGCTGGCTAACATCAGAACTACCTTCAGAAACCTGTGTAAGGAATCTTTCAGACTCTTGTATACCACGTATGTAAGACCAATCCTAGAATATGCGGCCCCAGCATGGAACCCGTACCTTGTCAAGCACAAGACGAAACTGGAAGAAGGTCAGAGGTATGCCACTAGGGTAGTCCCAGAACTAAGAGGCATGAGTTACGAGGAAAGGCTGAGGAAACTGCCCCTCATGTCGCTGAAAGACAGAAGAGCTCGATGAGACATGATCACCACATATAAGATTCTCAGGGGAATTGACAGCGTTGGCAATGATGGATTATTTAACACGGGTGGCCCACGCACAAGGGGACACAGATGGAAGCTGAGTACCCAAATGAGCCACAGAGATATTAGAAAGAACTTTTTCAGTGCCAGATTAGTTAACAGGTGGAATACACTGGGAAGTGGTGTAGTGGAGGCTGACTCCATACACAGTTTCAAATGTAGATATGATAGAGCTCAATAGGCTCAGGAACCTATACACCAGTTGATTGACGGTTGAGAGGCGGGACCAAAGAGCTAAAGCTCCACCCCTGCAAGCACAACTAGGTGAGTACACACAAACAGTGTGTGTGTGGCTCAGTTGACTGACAGTTGAGAGGCGGGAGAGGTCCCGCCTCTGTCAATCAACTGAGACACACACACACACACACACTGGAGCGCCCAGCTGTCTGTGTTCGAGCCCAACACGAGGATGTGTTTTCTGATATATATATAACTTGGGGCACATTCAAGTCTTGTTGCATATATATATATATATATATATATATATATATATATATATATATATATATATATATATATATATATATATATATATATAATGTATATATATACAAATTCAGTAAACTGGGGTAGTTAACTACTCTTAATGGGGTAGTTAACTTGATATATCGTGTGTTTGGAGGAAAAAAAAAACCGTTAATGTTACTACCGTGACTTAACACTCCATATACTTACACCCACATGTATACATATCATGTATAGTGGTTTATGAAAATGTAATTATACATGGTCAATGACAAATGTCCACAAACATGAAGCCAAAAACGAACTGGACGGAAATATATAACTTACTGTTAACGTCGTGGATGGCGAGGTCCGGGGTGTTGTGGGTGAGGCTCACGAAGAAATGGTTCATCAACACGAGATGAGCAGCCACCATCCTGCTGCCTGGAGCCGCCTCCACCACTCCTGAGACGAACACACCATCCCAGGCTCTTCCTCAATCTCCAGGAGCCTTCCTCTTCCCTTGGGGGCCTTCCTCTTCCCTTGGGGGCCTTCCTCTTCTCTTGGGGGCCTTCCTCTTCCCCCGGGAGCCTTCCTCTTCCCCCGGGAGCCTTCTTCTTCCCCCGGGAGCCTTCCTCTTCCCCTTGGGGGCCTTCCTCTTACCCCGGGAGCCTTCCTCTTTCCCTGGGAGCCTTCCTCTTCCCCCGGGAGGCTTCCTCTTCCCCCCGGGAGCCTTCCTCTTCCCCCGGGAGGCTTCCTCTTTCCCCCGGGAGCCTTCCTCTTCCCCAGGGAGCCTTCCTCACCCCTTCTGGGGTAAGTGGTGGCTGGGGAGGTGTTGGTGGTGATGGGGAAGGACCGTGCAAGATGAAGCAGAACACTCACTCCCACCTCGCCTTTCTCCTCTGAGGGAGCCGGCTGGATACTGGCTTCCCCTTTCACCTACTTAGCTTCTTCCTACGTCCTCCGTCGTCAGGTACTTGTGGCAGTTGAAGGAGTGAACCAGCGGACACACAACGTATCTTCAACAAGTCGTTACTTTGATGCAACGTTGTAACAACGTTGCAATGGTGTAACTTCAAATAACGTTAAAAAAGCGTTGTGGTTACGTCGAGTGTGACAGGGACGATAATATGCTCATTCTTCAATATGTGTGGACGGGAGGTGGTGGACAGTTGACCTGTCTGTATCCTGAGGGTTCCGTCTTCAAGAAGTAAGGAGAGAGTATTCCTGCTTTAGTAAATGGTAACAGTGTGCATACGAAAGATTTTTTAATCACTTATTGCAATGATTTTGTCACCAATCCGGTAGGGGAAAGTTTTTCCAATCACTTACTGCAATGATTTTATTTCCAATCCGGTCGGGAAGATATTTTTTTTCAATCACTTATTGCAATGATTTTGTCTCTAATCCGCTTCAGAAGTTTTTCCAATTTTCTGGTCCATTGGTTCCTAGACATTCTTATAGTTGCAATGTTTGCTTTACATACCGTCGTAGGGAGCAGCAGAGTACTACCCCTCCCCGCCCTCTGACACAAGGACCCAAGAGGCACACTGGTAACGCTCCTCCTCTGATGCCTGCAGGAAAGCCCGCCCTTGAGAGTCGGGACTCACCCATAACAAATTTCCTTCCACTCTAGCCATGCCACTAGTTTCTATCCGGTTGGAAAGCACAAAGCAGTTCATTGCTTCCTTCACTTCACAAAACTATATATATATATAAGCATCACACGGAATCACATTCTGAGGTATTAAGGGCCTCATGCTTATCTCGGAGTCACTATAAATATTGGTACTTCCTTCATTCTCTTTAGCTGTAACAAAAATATATATTATCGTAAGTGGCAGGACCACTGCATATATATATATATATATATATATATATATATATATATATATATATATATATATATATATATATATATATATATATATATGTGTGTGTGTGCACATAAACACACGCTATAATAGGTATCCTGGCGGTGTCCAGGTCTGTGTCTACGTGTCTCTTTCACTCCCTTTCCCTTTTTCTCCACACCCCCCCCCCCCACCCCCTCTTTCTCTCATTCTCTCTTCCCCTTCCCGTCTTTCTCCTCTTTATCTCTTCCCTTTCTGACTCTTCTCGCTCCCTATTATCTCTACTATCTTTTTTTCCACACAGGAGGGTACAGGAGCAGACGACTGCTGACTCCTGCTAGCAGGCTGAGAGCTTTCCCTTCCCATAGCTCATGGTAAGCCTTACCCTACTAGTTTTACACAGGAGCATGATCGAGCAATCTGTGTTTCTCCCAGGTCTCGAATTACTGTCGGGTGAATAGGGGCAAACAGTAGTGGAGTGGTCCCCAGTCAATCCTTCCCGGATTTTGTCACGGGTCAATGAATGTGTATGTCTGTACTCATCTATTTGTGCCTCCAGGATCGAGCTCTAGCTCTTGGACCCTGCTTGTGTGTGTGTGTGTGTGTGTGTGTGTGTGTGTGTGTGTGTGTGTGTGTGTGTGTGTGTGTGTGTGTGTGTGTGTGTGTGTGTGTGTGTGTGTGTGTGTGTGTGTATGTGTGTGTATACATATGTACACACATATGTACATACATATATACATTCATATGTGAGCATGTCTAACTACTAGGGCAAATACTAACCATCCCCAGGATGCAGCCCCAGAAACTAACTCCCAGCTACCTATTTACTGATGGGTGAACAGTTGCATGAGATGAAAAAAAAATTTGCCAATTTAATTCCCTCAGCCGGGATTCGAACCCGGGCCTTTCAAGTAAGAATCGGAGACATTGACTGCATGACTAAGGAGCCGATCAGGGTATAAAATTTTATAATGTGGGAAAATTAAAATAATTATACTACTACTACTACTACTACTACTACTACTAATAATAATAATAATAATAATAATAATAATAATAATAATTTAGTTGGGTCATAATGGTAGAGATTTCTGGTGAGGTCCCTCTGTGTCACGTGAGGTCCCTCTGTGTCACGTGAGGTCCCTCTGTGTCACGTGAGGTCCCTCTGTGTCACGTGAGGTCCCTCTGTGTCACGTGAGGACCCTCTGTGTCACGTGAGGTCCCTCTGTGTCACGTGAGGTCCCTCTGTGTCACGTGAGGTCCCTCTGTGTCACGTGAGGTCCCTCTGTGTCACGTGAGGTCCCTCTGTGTCACGTGAGGTCCCTCTGTGTCACGTGAGGTCCCTCTGTGTCACGTGAGGTCCCTCTGTGTCACGTGAGGTCCCTCTGTGTCACGTGAGGTCCCTCTGTGTCACGTGAGGTCCCTCTGTGTCACGTGAGGTCCCTCTGTGTCACGTGAGGTCCCTCTGTGTCACGTGAGGTCCCTCTGTGTCACGTGAGGTCTGTGTCACTGAGGTCCTCTGTGTCACGTGAGGTCCCTCTGTGTCACGTGAGGTCCCTCTGTGTCACGTGAGGTCCCTCTGTGTCACGTGAGGTCCCTCTGTGTCACGTGAGGTCCCTCTGTGTCACGTGAGGTCCCTCTGTGTCACGTGAGGTCCCTCTGTGTCACGTGAGGTCCCTCTGTGTCACGTGAGGTCCCTCTGTGTCACGTGAGGTCCCTCTGTGTCACGTGAGGTCCCTCTGTGTCACGTGAGGTCCCTCTGTGTCACGTGAGGTCCCTCTGTGTCACGTGAGGTCTGTGTCACGTGAGGTCCCTCTGTGTCACGTGAGGTCCCTCTGTGTCACGTGAGGTCCCTCTGTGTCACGTGAGGTCCCTCTGTGTCACGTGAGGTCCCTCTGTGTCACGTGAGGTCCCTCTGTGTCACGTGAGGTCCCTCTGTGTCACGTGAGGTCCCTCTGTGTCACGTGAGGTCCCTCTGTGTCACGTGAGGTCCCTCTGTGTCACGTGAGGTCCCTCTGTGTCACGTGAGGTCCCTCTGTGTCACGTGAGGTCCCTCTGTGTCACGTGAGGTCCCTCTGTGTCACGTGAGGTCCCTCTGTGTCACGTGAGGTCCCTCTGTGTCACGTGAGGCCCCTCTGTGTCACGTGAGGTCCCTCTGTGTCACGTGAGGTCCCTCTGTGTCACGTGAGGTCCCTCTGTGTCACGTGAGGTCCCTCTGTGTCACGTGAGGTCCCTCTGTGTCACGTGAGGTCCCTCTGTGTCACGTGAGGTCCCTCTGTGTCACGTGAGGTCCCTCTCTGTGTCACGTGAGGTCCCTCTGTGTCACGTGAGGTCCCTCTGTGTCACGTGAGGTCCCTCTGTGTCACGTGAGGTCCCTCTGTGTCACGTGAGGTCCCTCTGTGTCACGTGAGGTCCCTCTGTGTCACGTGAGGTCCCTCTGTGTCACGTGAGGTCCCTCTGTGTCACGTGAGGTCCCTCTGTGTCACGTGAGGTCCCTCTGTGTCACGTGAGGTCCCTCTGTGTCACGTGAGGTCCCTCTGTGTCACGTGAGGTCCCTCTGTGTCACGTGAGGTCCCTCTGTGTCACGTGAGGTCCCTCTGTGTCACGTGAGGTCCCTCTGTGTCACGTGAGGTCCCTCTGTGTCACGTGAGGTCCCTCTGTGTCACGTGAGGTCCCTCTGTGTCACGTGAGGTCCCTCTGTGTCACGTGAGGTCCCTCTGTGTCACGTGAGGTCCCTCTGTGTCACGTGAGGTCCCTCTGTGTCACGTGAGGTCCCTCTGTGTCACGTGAGGTCCCTCTGTGTCACGTGAGGTCCCTCTGTGTCACGTGAGGTCCCTCTGTGTCACGTGAGGTCCCTCTGTGTCACGTGAGGTCCCTCTGTGTCACGTGAGGTCCCTCTGTGTCACGTGAGGTCCCTCTGTGTCACGTGAGGTCCCTCTGTGTCACGTGAGGTCCCTCTGTGTCACGTGAGGTCCCTCTGTGTCACGTGAGGTCCCTCTGTGTCACGTGAGGTCCCTCTGTGTCACGTGAGGTCCCTCTGTGTCACGTGAGGTCCCTCTGTGTCACGTGAGGTCCCTCTGTGTCACGTGAGGTCCCTCTGTGTCACGTGAGGTCCCTCTGTGTCACGTGAGGTCCCTCTGTGTCACGTGAGGTCCCTCTGTGTCACGTGAGGTCCCTCTGTGTCACGTGAGGTCCCTCTGTGTCACGTGAGGTCCCTCTGTGTCACGTGAGGTCCCTCTGTGTCACGTGAGGTCCCTCTGTGTCACGTGAGGTCCCTCTGTGTCACGTGAGGTCCCTCTGTGTCACGTGAGGTCCCTCTGTGTCACGTGAGGTCCCTCTGTGTCACGTGAGGTCCCTCTGTGTCACGTGAGGTCCCTCTGTGTCACGTGAGGTCCCTCTGTGTCACGTGAGGTCCCTCTGTGTCACGTGAGGTCCCTCTGTGTCACGTGAGGTCCCTCTGTGTCACGTGAGGTCCCTCTGTGTCACGTGAGGTCCCTCTGTGTCACGTGTCCCTCTGTCACGTGAGGTCCCTCTGTGTCACGTGAGGTCCCTCTGTGTCACGTGAGGTCTGTGTCACGTGAGGTCCCTCTGTGTCACGTGAGGTCCCTCTGTGTCACGTGAGGTCCCTCTGTGTCACGTGAGGTCCCTCTGTGTCACGTGAGGTCCCTCTGTGTCACGTGAGGTCCCCTCTGTCACCTCTGTCTGTGTCACGTGTCCCTCTGTGTCACGTGAGGTCCCTCTGTGTCACGTGAGGTCCCTCTGTGTCACGTGAGGTCCCTCTGTGTCACGTGAGGTCCCTCTGTGTCACGTGAGGTCCCTCTGTGTCACGTGACACGTGAGGTCCCTCTGTGTCACGTGAGGTCCCTCTGTGTCACGTGAGGTCCCTCTGTGTCACGTGAGGTCCCTCTGTGTCACGTGAGGTCCCTCTGTGTCACGTGAGGTCCCTCTGTGTCACGTGAGGTCCCTCTGTGTCACGTGAGGTCCCTCTGTGTCACGTGAGGTCCCTCTGTGTCACGTGAGGTCCCTCTGTGTCACGTGACACTCATGTCTGTATTAACGCCAATTCCCACCAGATTTTTGTTTGTTTCGTTTTTTGTTTTAATGAGAGCCGGATTCGAACCAATGTAATGGTTTCGTACCCCGCTGCTGAGGTGTGAGACTCAGAGGTTTCCGAGGCCACTGATGTCTGATGTTGTGGCAACACTCACACACAATGTAGAGAGGAGTCACTGTGTCGCATGTCCAGTGGCTCGACACGCGGTTACTTACTTGTCCTTTGTGTAGTTTTTATTTGTGACTGCAGAATCGAGCTGTTAGCTCTTGGACCCCGCCTTTATAACCAATTTATTTTTCCTTTATTATATCTAACACACGCACACACATCCCCGTAACAGCTGTCTTAACTCCCAGGTACCTATTTACTGCTAGGTGATCAGAGGCATCAGGGTGGAAGAAATTCTGCCAATTTGTTTCCGCCTTCGCCGGAATTCGAACCCTAGCCATTAAGACTACGACCCCCAGGCGCTATCCACTCAGCCGCGTCGCCCTCCGCTGCTTTACTGTGTGTGTGTACTCACATAGTTGTACTTGCCGGGGTTGTGCTTTGGCTCTTTGGTCCCGCCTCTCAACTGTCAATCAACAGATGTACAGGTTCCTGAGCCTACTGGGCTCTATCATATCTACATTTGAAACTGTGTATGGAGTCAGCCTCCAACACATCACTTCCTAATGCATTCCATTTGTTAACTACTCTGACACTGAACAAATTCTGAACAAATAATAGTACATATGTGTGCTATACTAGGCTTAGGAATATTTAAGATTGTTTTTAGCTTCATTTTTTTCAGACGCTATAAAGTGAACAGTGTTCTACTAAGTGTTTAGAACGTCAGTCGTTCTACTATTCTGCACATAGTTGCAAAAACTACTATCTAAACAGGAGAATGTGTTGGATAAT